AGGAATGCTCACCTGAGAAAATGAGAAAGCCAACCCCCAGGGTGCAATTGTCACAGCATAATCCCTTCTTCTCCATTTCTCCCTGCTTATGAGATTTTTGAGTGCACGCACATGCCCAGTATGTTTTTCAAGTCACTAGTTCTGAGACTCAAATTGCATGGTAGGCCATATGGGATCCAATTGCCTTCACTATGAGGCCATGGGATGGCCCTCGAAAAATAAATTGAGTACCCAAATGACTCCTTCATTAAATCCATTTACACATGAACTTTTGGAAGTCAGCTTGTGTATTTAATAGCTTCTTCTTCAGCACTTTCAATCACTGGTTAAGATTGTGGGTTAATAGCCAGTTCACTTACATGTTTTTAAGGGTAAGAATTTACATGCCTAGGGTGAAGTCTTTTGCTATATGCTGTTTGGAGTCAGTTTTAGTCCGTAGTATGAAAGGGGGCAGATATGTATGGCCCCTAAGAAAGTCTTAGTCCCTTTGCATTACAAGTGGATGAGGTGGTAACAGTGCAACACCTGATCGATTTCTGCTAATTCAGTGAAGTCTGAACTTGAAATGTGAAACTTTACAAAAAACAAACGAACAAACAAACAAACAGGCTAACAGGTCTTCTGGCCAAGGGGAGGTAAGGACACCAAAACACTGGAGAGGTACAGTCTGAACTAGAACACGGAGCATGTCCTTTGGCGTGTGTATGTGTGCTTGTGCATGTGCACACATGTGCAACAAAGTGAGGGCCTGTCCAGTGGCTCATCTCATTTCAGTATTTACATTAGTTATTCACACTGGGAGCAACTTCTAGAAAACTATGAGGGTCTCAGCTTTGGGAATGTGTCACGCCCAGAGGGGACCAAGATGGATTACACTGGTGCAGCCAAAGAGGCCTCTCCTTCTCTTGCCAATTTCAATGAAAAGGTCTTAAGGAGTAGGAAGAATAGGACTAACCTGAGAAATAGGAGAATTCGTTAGAATATCTTCCCACACTCCCTTCCATAGCATAATACAACTGTCAGCTGTCCACAGGAGAAGTTGAATTATGAATGAAATTTAGAGATTGATGAAAAAATTCAACTACATTCAATTACATGCTTTGTTTAAAAATCAACCTTTATTCAAAAGAATTTTAAAATGCAGAATGTTGCAAACTCAGGGCAGTGAATTCTCAAGTTCCCATCATTAACAGATTACTTTGGTACCTTTCTCTAAACAAAGAAACTGGCATTATTCTATTACTAATAAGAAAACCAATTATTTGAATTTTGCCAGTTTTTCTCTTCATATTTTCTGAGTTTCAGGATTTGGTCCACTGTAATATGTGGTGGGCTGAGGTGGGATTTCCTGAAAAGATAACAAAAAAGCTGTTATTCTCACAAAAATGTGTAAGTCTTTGATACACATATATAAGAATACTCTGTCAACAGTGAACTGCAAGCTGCTCCACGTTCTCCCATACCCAGATGTCAAGGCCCTCTGTGCTTTGCCATAGGAGATGGAAGGTCTGAATCTGACACTGTCTTACCTGGCTCCACACAGGAGTCACATGGTCTTTCTCTCAGGAAGGCACAAATTCGGAACGAAGATTTAAATTGTTTTTCCCTGGAAACAAGCCTTTGAGAAGACCTTTTATAATATCCTCACCACCATGTATGAGTCCTCCAAAGAGCTTCAAGAAAAAAGTAGTTAAAACATCGTACAGCAAGAGATTATTTGGGGAAAGAAGTGAGGACAGGAAGCCCAGGGTCCAGCATTCCACGCCACACTCACCGAGCCAATGATGGAAAGCATTTCCACGTTGTTGCTTCCATTCTCTTCCATATATTTCTGGATGCGCTGCATAATCATTTTCTTATGCTCCTCTGACAGTTCGCTCACTGACCCTTCTGCATTCTAGAAGCAAATATATAATTAGTGGTCTGTATGCTACTTAAAATTCAACTCTTGTTCACCACAAGGACTTGCAAACAGATGGAAGACAACAGGAGGGAGGGATGCTTCTACTTACACCAACCAGATCATGAAGGTTTTTGTAGTTTGCAGTCTCCTGCTGTTGGGCATCTAAGCCGGTTGGAACTGTGGGGGCAGCTGCAGCTACTCCCAAGCAAAGGATGACCAGCAAGAGTGAAGGACTCATATTTCATAAACCTAGAAAGGGAAAATAATGAGCTCCTGATTTAGACCAGTTCTTCCAGAATGGTATGTTGTTCTCCCCTGAGAAATTAAAATCACTATGGTAGCATAAAAATACTGAAATTATTTCCCCATGTATTTATCCAAGAAGTGTGGAAGGGACTATGAATGTGGGTGAAGAAAAAAATAGGCCAGATGGTGGTATTTGATTAAGTGCCCAAAACAAACAGGAGCCTGTGAGGAGCCCTAGGAACCGAAGCAGTGTACGCAAGTGTAATTTAGGTTACGAGAACCATGTGAAGTGCTTTATGGTCAGAGCTTAAGGCATCAACCGGAAACTAGAAACACCTAGTCCAGCTTTGTATCAATGATACCGTGTTCACCTCACTAAAGAGCAAAACCTCATATAGAGTTCATTTTCTGCCAACTAGGGTAAAAGTCTTCTCCAGAGTTGGGAGGCTACATCCCACCTTCTCCTTGGCTAATACACAGCAGGAGATAGGCTATGACTCTGAATTTCTTTTTGTATAAAACCTTCTGGGCTGCCTCTCCAAAAGGACCCGCCTCTCCCTCCCTAATCACATTCCTGTGATATCAGTACTCACTTTCTCTACTCTATACAGGAATCTGAGTCATGTGGTCAAAAATAGAAGTCAGAGCTCCCAACACCAGCACCCAGACAGGGAAGAGAGCACCAGACCTTTGCACCCAAGGTTTCAGTCCAGGGCCCTCTAGTCTGGGTAGAGGACTTTTTGCTGTGGGGTTGAAGCCCTTCAAGGAGCTGACATTGACATCTCTACATTCACTTGGATCCAAGCAGCCTCTACACCTCCATGGATCATCCAACTGCCCTTCTATTCTAGGGGAGGCAGGGACAGTTCAACTGTGGATCTATGCCTTTCAAGGTATTGACGTTGACTTCCCTGCACTATTCAGGTCCCCTAGCATCCTCTGAACGCCCATGGATCATCCAACTGCCCTCCCCATACCCCCACATGAAAGCAGGCAGAGCTCTGGGCAGAAGTTCTGGTTCCCTGAGGTCACAAGGCCTCATGGGCTGTGTCCATACAGGCGTCCCAGACTCCACACAGTGACTCTGTCTGAACAAGGGCACTCACCTGAGGCAGCCTCAGCTGAGCAAGTTACTCTGCAGACACAGCTCTGCACAGGCTTTTAGGTCCAAAGCTATAACCTGCTGCTTTTGACTCTGGCTTTATGGACCACTCTGCACCCTGCCTGCTCCGCCTCCATGGACTGCCTGTTCTGTGATTGGCTGTGCTGGAGGCTGGGCGAGTCCTTTGGGTGTTCTGACTTAGGGCACATGACAGCCCTCAGTCCAACCTGATTCAGGGCAGTATGTGTTGCCTCAGGGGTTGATAACAGAGTGGAGGGGAGGAGGGGTGCATAACTGGGAATCTCAAACAGTGTCTAAAAGGGGTATGTACCTCCATGGGGGACCTGGAGCAAGTAAGTACCCCCAAAAAATGGGCTTAGCACTTGCTGAGTGGTACATAAAAGAACTTAAAGTTGATCCTATGAGACTATCCAGTGAACTGCTCTTTTCCTTTATTTTAAAATTCCATATTAAAATCTCCTGCTGGCCTGAAAGTCATCAAAATGTTCATGAAAAGCAAATGTAATTTTAAAAAAATCTATGCATACAGTTTTAGAAAGTCATTGTACTCACAATTAACTCAAATTTGCTACTGCTTTTCCACAATCTTTTTGAGGTACTCTCCGATACTTTCAGTCTAGTGCTGCTTGTTTAGTTCACACAAAGGTAGAAATGACTGAAAGAATGCAGAGCCAAGGACAGTACCCCATCTCACAGTTTGGGAGTGGAATGCAACTTGGTGTAAGAGACTATCCTTGGGAAAAGCAAACCCCAAAACACTTGGGTCGTGTGATTACCAAGACCTAAACCATAGGAGGAAAAGGAACTGACTGGGTATCTCCACAGTGAGTGGCATTATTGCTTGCAAGCATTGCAACACCTATTCCCACACTTTCTACACAATCTGCTAGGTAGTGCAGTACAGAAAGGTCATGCCACTAATCACGTGGTCTTTTGTTGTTGATGTTAAGAATTATTTATTGGGACCAGCAGTTAGCGTAATGGCTATGTTGCTGGACTCCCACGTAGTCAACCACGGTTCACGTCCCGGACCCGGTGGCTTAAACTCATGCTGGGCACGTGTGTGTGTGTGCCTAAGATCCCAAAAGGAGAATGGAGGAGAAGAGATTGTGGCATGACCATCCCCCCTGGGGGGTGACTTCTCACTTTCTGTCTCTCTGTCTCTCTCTGTCTGGCGAGCGCACGCGCCCTATGACAAAACCCTCTCAAAAAAAAAAAGAATTATTTATTTAGTTTTATCTATGTATTTCTTAATTTGATATAGGGGACTATACTTACCAGAGAGACAGTGAGAGAGAGAGAGAAATTGAGAAAGCAAGCCACCAGGTCCAGGAATTGTACTGCAGTTGATCATGTGGGGGGCCAGTGCCTTAATCACCATGCCACCTGCCGGCCACAATCATTTGGTTCTTATTCATAATCTGATATCTCTGTTTTCTGCAAAATTATGTGGATAAAAGACAATTATTAATATGACTAATTTTAGTCAAGTGGCCTAAGACCTGCTGGGTGAAACACTCATGACAAAACGTTCAAATTTCTATTTTAATGCTATGTAGGTGAACATATGTTCTCTTATACATGTGTATAGATATTTTTTAAAAGAATTTTTTTAACTTTATTTATTTATTTAATTTGACCAGAGAGAGACAGAGAGAGAGAGAAAGAGAGAAAGTGAGAAAGCAAGCTGCCCAGTTCAGGACGCTAACCATGGTTGGCAATGTGGGAGTCCAGCACCCTTAACCACCATACCACCGGCCAGCACCATAGATTTGTGCATTTTATTTCATTTATTTATGTATGTGTTTATTTAATTTACATTCATTCACTGAATATCATCACAGCATACAAAATGCAGCTTCCCATCCAATTCACAAGATGACTGTTTTTTTTGTTTTTTGTTTTTTTTTTGAGAGAGAGGTTTTTGCTATAGGGCACGTGCGATCACCAAAAAGACAGAGAGAGACAGAGAGACAGAAAGCAAGAAATCACCCCCCAGGGGGGATGGCCACACCATAATCCCTTCTCCTCCTTTCTCCTCTCAGGATTTTGGGCATGCACGCACACGTGCCGGGCGAGAGTTTAAGCCGCCATGTCTGGGACTCGAACCACGGTCAACTTCATGGAAGTCCAGCGACATAGCCATTACACCAACTGCTGGTCCCAAGCTCGCCTTTTACTTAGATGTTTTTTCACTCTTATTTCTGTGTGTCTAACTTTAGTTTTCCCGATATAGCACTCACTTGAGAGCTTCTTGGAGAATTGATCTGATGTTGGCAAATTCTTTCAGATTTTGTTTATCTGAGAATGTTCCTATCTTCTATCCCCATATGAAGGATAATCCTGCGGGGTATAGCATTCTTGGTTGAAATTGTTTTTCACTCAACACTGAATATATTTTCCCATTCTTTCCTTGCTCACATTGTTTCCGATGAGAGTCTGCTGTTAGCCTGATGGGATATTCTTTGTAGGTAACTTGTTTTTCTCTTGCCAGTGTTAGTATACTCTCTTTGTCTGTGGTTTCGGTCAATCTGGCTATAATGTGTCCTGGAGAAGATCTTCTTGAGTTGATTGTATTTGAGATACTTTGTATTTCTTGGATCTGGATCTTTGAATGCTTCTCTATGTTTGGAAAGTTTTCTTCCAGGATTTCATGGAATAGATTATTAATGCCCTTATTAGTCTCTACACCTTCTGGGATACTGATTACCCAGATGTTTGGATGTTTAATGGTATCTAGTATTTCTCATACATTATTCTCATTTTTTGGACTATTTTCTCAGCCATTGTAGTGAACTGTTCTAGGCCAGCAATTCTGTCTTCTGCATCTGAGATTCAATCTTCTGTATGATTTAGTCTGCTTTTAATGCTCTCAAGGGAGATATTGATTTCTGTAATATAGCCTTCATCGCTAACAGTTCTATTTGATTCTTTTTTATGATGTATATTTCCTCTTTCAAATCATGCAAGAAATTTCACACCTCTTGGAACTCCTCAGCTCTATTCTCCTGCCTCTTCTGAAGTTTATTGTCTCTCTTCTCTTACATCTCTGTTAGCTTTGTCACTGTGAATATTCTAAATTTTTTATCATACATTTCCATGAGTTCCATTGTACTGTCTGTGGATGAAAAGGAGTTATTTTTTTCCCTTGGGGGGGACGTATTATCTTCGTTTCTTGTATTTCTTGTGCCTCTGCAGTGATTTCTAGTTACCTGATGAGTTATATGTTTCTTCCTCATTTCTAGAAGTTCAATCTGAGTATTAAGGGGCATGTAGGAGGAAGTGATCTGAAAACTCTTTGCCATTCCACTTTTATCCCTTTGTGCAGCAGATTCAGTGAGTATTGAGGAATATGTTGGGCCTAATAGTATTAGGATGTTTGGCTATGGTTCCCCTAGATCTGTTAGACACTCAGTGTATAGAGGCTGAGCATCAAAGTGATGAAGTAAAACAAAAAAAAAAAAAAAAAAGAAAAGAAAGAAAGAAAGAGAAAGAGAAAAAAGAGAAGAAAGACAAAAATTTATTAATTTTTTTAAGAAGCAAAAAATTAAAACCACACAGCATGTGTGCACAATGCAAAAACACTAGTTCTCAGCTATAATGAAGGAGTCTTCTTCTGATAGGCTGACCCTTGCCTCTTCTAAATAAGAGTAGGGAAGGAAATTATTAGCAATATAATGGAGGCTCTGAAAGCCAAGAGAATACTTTAAAAATATTTTTAAAAATAAAAATTACCAAAAAGTGAGAAGGCAGAGAGAGACAGAGAAAAGGATACAAGGGGCACCCTACAACTCAATCTGGGGGCTGGAGGCTGAATTATCAATAGAACATCTTGGGACCAGCAGTTAGCTTAACGGCTATGTCACTGAACTCCCATGTAGTCGACTACGGCTCAAGTCCAGACCTGGTGACTTAAACTCACACCAGGCACATGTGCGTGCATGCACAAGATCCCGAGAAGAGAATGCAGGAGAAGGGATTGTGATGTGACCACCACCACCCCCCCGGGGAGGGGAGTGATTTCTCGTTTTCTGTCTCTCTGTCTCTCTATGTCTTTCAGGTGAGGGCATGCGCCCTATAGCAAAAACTTCTCAAAAGAAAAAAAATAGAACATCTTCATTTTTCTTATTCTCTGAAAGCACTAGTTCTCAGCTGTAATGAAAGAGTCTTCTTTCCCCCATAGATATGTTTTTTATAGTAAAAGAAAATATAATTTTTTACCCGGGCTATGAAAGTTTTAAGCTATAAGGAAACTCAGGGATCAGGGCAAGGTGGTTAGAGTGCTAAACTTCCACAGGGCTGACCTTGGTTCAAATTCCAGACTGGCAGCTGGGATTCACACAGGGCCCATGTTCATACAGACAAGAATCCTGAGAGAGAATGGAGAAGAACTGATTTTGATGTGCTAATTTCCCCAGGGGAGTGATTGCTCACTTTCTCTCTCTTTGTCTCTCTCTGTCTCTCCAGTGAGCCCACGTGACCTATAGCAAAACAATTCTCCAGAAATAAATAAATAAATAAATAAATAAATAAAAGGAAATAAAAGTAAACTGTAAAAAAACTGGAAATTCAGTGTGGTGTTTTAAGACCAAGCTATCACTTACTATCTTCCCCAAAATATAATAACCCTCTCCAATTTTTTTTCAATTTCTTTGTATTTACTGAGCTAAGAAGGACTATTATAAACCATTATCTAGGGCCAGATATGTAGCTTGATGATTACACAAGCTAGTTTCAACAAGGCAACCACAGGGTTCAAATCCCTCCCACAGTGGCTTGAAACAAACACTGGGTTCATGTGCATGCCTAACCAAAAATCCTGTAAGGTTGCAGAAATGGAGACGGGATTGTGTCACAGACACACCCCATCAAGGAGAGCTTTCCTACTCTTTTTCTCCCTTCCTTTGTGCTGGTGGCAAATATGTGCCTTGCCATGTAATTTTTGCAAATTACAAAAACAGAAAACAAAACCATTACCCAATACAGTTTCTATATTTTTTCATCACCTCAGCCACTTACTGTTTCTTTGTTTTGAAGATATTAAAAATCCTATCTGTTAGTTATTTTGAAATACATGATACAAAACTGTCAATAATAATCTCTCT